AATGTAATTAAAATGTACAATATGGGCATTTGAATAAATGTATGAAATAACATTTATAGGGCCTGTGTATATGGTGAGATATTCTATTTTCATTTAGCAAAATGTGATACCTCAGCAAGAATTAATCTTTTGGAAAATTAAATCACATTCAGGAAATTGAAACTACAAATGCACTGTAAGATCAAGATTATTTTTTTTATTTTTAAGTCAATGTTTCTTGTTTCATCATTTAAATGATAAAATATTGAACTTCTAGTTTACTTTGAAGCAATCGAATATGCATATCTTTTAGAAAATCATAGACTTTCTATTTCTGGGTTTTAATTTTTAATGGGAAGTCTCCATAGCAACACTTGCCCAGCTGATTGCCTTTGTTCTTTAAAAGAAAAAAATCCATATGGAATTTATCTATTTCCAGGTTCCTGCTTTCTTTGTTAGGGTTTTCTTTGCTAAACAGAAGAATTCTGCAGTATCAAATTTCTGGGTTCTTCTGTTGCTCTGTGAACAAACTTCCCTCGTAACATTTCTCTAGGAAATAGTAAGTTCACAGATTCACAGAGTGGAAGGGATTGGAAGGGACCCCTAGAGATCACCTAGTCCAACCCCCCTGCCAGAGCAGGATCACCTGGAGTAGATCACACAGGGACAAGCCCAGGCGCCTTTGGAAAGTCTCCAGAGCAGGAGACCCCACCCCCTCTCTGGGCAGCCTGTTCCTGTGCTCTGTCACCCTCACAGGGAAGAAGGGTCTCCTCATGTTCAGGCTGAACCGTCTGTTTTCCAGTTTATGGCCACTGCCCCTAGTCCTGCCACTGGACACCACTGAGAAGAGCCTGGCCCCATCTTCCTGACACCCACCCTACACCCACCCTTTAGATACTGATAAGCATTGATAAGACCTCCCCTCAGCCTCCTCTTCTCCAAGCTAAACAGACCCAGCTCTGTCAGCCTTTCCTCATATGGAAGATGCTCCAGGCCCATCTTAGTGTCCCTGTGCTGGACCCTCTCCAGTAGTTCCTTGTCCTTCTTGAGCTGAGGAGCCCAGAACTGGACACAGCACTCCAGGTGAGGCCTCACCAGCGCAGAGTAGAGGGAGAGGATAACTTCCCTTGAGCTGCTGGCCACGCTCTTAACGCATCCCAGGATGCCATTGGCCTTCTTGGCTGTGAGGGCACACTCTTGGCTCATGGCCATCCTGTTGTCCACTAGGACTCCAAGGTCCTTCTCCCCAGAGCTAGAGCTCTCAAGTTCCTTGAGTTGGGTGGGCTGGGTTGTTTTCCACTCCTGTTGCCATACCTGAAATCTCTGCAGCAATCTGAAATTTTTTTTATAATCTAGTGGTGACCCACTGCTAAATGAGAAAGGTGCTAAGCTTGCTCTGTGTCTCTAGTTACTTATGGGAAGATTACAAGTTCCCAGCTTGTTACTAGCTTTGGAGAACGAGTAGAACATGAGCTTGCAAGATGCATATGGGAAGATTGCAAGTTCCCTTTAAGCTGTGTTACTAGCTTTGGAGAATGAGTAGAACATGAGCTTGCAAGATGCAAAATCTTTCATAGAAATACCAGCTCTTACAATAGTTCCCCATCCTTTATTGCTACACATGTCTTCACACTCACCTATATAGAATTACATCATATGTAGAAACATTAAAAATAGATAACTGGCCAACCAGCTCCCTCATTGGTTTCTTTTGTAGCAAAGGAAGACTGCAGCATGTAAGCTCTACTTCACAGGTGAGCCTTCTGAATAGAGGAAACATAGTTGATTGGTATCTGAAGTTACAGTGCCTGGGGTGAAGAGGAAGAGGTGTCTTAAAAGCTCTGTAGTTTGTGAGAGAAGCCTTAAAATATACACAGTTTACTCTTGATTCCAGTAATGTTTTTCCCCTGTGACTTTCTCTGTTTTCCCAGGATCCTAAATTTTACTGTCATAATTGTCTGAGCAAAACGGATTGTTTAAGCTGGCAGTGTTGGTGTTCCTGTGCATCAACATCTGAGAGAACTGAGTAAAATTGGGTTCTCACATCATTATTTAAAAGCTGTTTTTTATGGAGAAAATTCAGTGTGGTATTTAAAAATTATTTCTGAAAGAATTGATTCTTTCACATTTATTGTGAAGAGTGTACTGCAGTCTGAGAAGTGGTTAAGAACACTTAGGTGTGACATGGTAGAGCGAAGGGAAATAAACACATGTATTTATGTAAACCATGTACATATTGAAAACAAAACAACAAAAAATCCAACACCTGTACAGGGCACTTCTAGAGAGCAGATAAGAGAAAGCTGAATATTGGTGGTACCTCATAGGTTTATTTTATGGAGGTTTCCCATATCCTGCAGCTTTGAGGAATGCACATACCTGACTTTTTGGTTAAGATATTGATCAGTTATTGCTGATGCAGTGAATGTACTGCTTTACACTGGTTTTTGCCTTTTTTACGTTTAAGGCAATGAAAACTTGGGCTAAAAGAAATGCTGTGTTTGTGGCACAGCTGATGTCTTGCAGAGGATTTAAGTCCAGTGGTCTGCGATTGAGGGCAGTTGCCTGTAGAAGAGATGCCTGGTTTGGAGTGTTCAGGGCTCCGGCTGGGTTTGGCCAGGTGCACTCTCTAGTGTTTGGGGAGCAAGATGAAAGCTGGCTGTGATTTGCACTCCAGGTTCAGGTTAGGAAAATCTAACTGAGTCGATGTTGAAAAATTGGATAGAATTCTTGGGGTGTTTGTTGCATTTCTTTTTAAACTATTTTTTGTTTTTTATTTAAATCACTTTCCATGGTTTGTGTCATGGTGCATTAGCGGCTGGCAGCTCCCTGGGACTGGGACGTAGGAGGTGCCACTGGGGACAGCAGTGATGGGCCTTGCAGCTGGGGTGTGACCTGCTGCCCCAGCCAGGGAGTGGGCCAGGGTGGGGACAGCAGGGCAACCCCAGCTCTGGGCATCGGGCACCACCCTAGGGCCAGGCCAAGGCTGGGCTGCTCTGGGCTGTTGGTCTGCTGGTAGGCCCAGCCTGGTGTGGCCTGTGGCCTGGCTGGGCAGGGCTGTGGGGAGCTGAGGCAGCAGGGTCTGATGGCCCTGAGGGCCTGAAATGAGATCCTGGGCCCTTGACAGGTGGTCAGGGACAATTGGGCCTGGTGATGCCCTCAGGGCCCTCACAGTATAAAAGCAGACATATGCTATGTCCTGTCATAATCATAACTAGTAATACACAATGTGCAAGTAGTCTTTCACTATCACCCAGTGCTACAGTAATCTTTGATACACAGATGTGCATGTAAAACGTATGCAGTTACAAAAATGCTTAGAAGGGCCTACTAAAGTAGGGAAATGGAAGAGAAATCAACAGTACTACAATACTTTAAAAACATATAAAGCTTTTTTATTTTACAGATAGAATGTGGTGACTTTCCTCTATAGCTGAATGTAGTTCTCTTGAAGCTGAGACTTTAGTTTTCTTAATTGTTCTTAGGGAACAATATCTAGTTTTTGAGAAACTGAAATCTTGATTTGGACTTGTAGTATTTGGAGGAAAAGAGGGAATCTGCATTTAAACAGAAATAAATATCTGCACCCACCTCTTAATATTGTGATACTACATGTTAACAGTTAGACTAGGAATCAGCATAAACTGTTGGCAAATAATAGTTGGTGCTTTTCATGTATCTAATGAAGGATATATCTTACAGTACCTCTTTTTATGCAACTGTTCTATAATCAGAAAATGCATAAATCACAAGAAGCCACCAGATGATTTTCATATAATTAAAAAAATTTATTAAGAGTTTATAACAGACTCAGATACCACAAAATTTCAGTATAAAATGTCAAGAACTTTCTATTTCAACCATTAAGATCCCACTTTTGATGAAATGGCAGCAGCAGGTTGGTCTCTATCTCCTTGGCTTCCCACAAGAAAGGTTAACATACTAGTCTGAAGATGAGAGAAAGGGTGAAGACTCCAGGAATGCAGCTCTGGTATTTTCAGATTTTACACTTAATTCAACTTGCAAGCTCAGTCCCTTTCCTGCTGTAAATTTAAGGACTGCAGCAGAGCCACGGATGGGTCTACACTGGGCTCTCTCTCTTTGTATATAAACACAACACATCTTGCTGGGGAAGTTTTAGACAACCTGTTTGCAAACTGTATTTTTAGGGTGACTGATGAAGATTTAGCAGAACTGAGAGGTCTGGGGCTGTAGTCTTACCGCAGTTTTTATCTATCCAAACTGGTAGGACTGAGTTTTGATCCTCCTCCAACACATCTGACAGTATGTCTGCAATTCTTTGTTGAGCTACTTCAGCTCATTAAGCGATCACAAAGTCACCCACTGTCCTGGATTTGGCTAAGCTTCTGCTGTTTTCATGAACTGAAGCAGGTCACTTGGGGTATCAAAATCCAGGGGAGGTGTAAGTGAAGAGAGGAGATTATCATCCTAATACCAGCTGCACATACACAGATTTAGGCTTGAGCTGGAGTGGAACTGTACCTGCAGTGAAGTGGAAGCCAAACTACCTTTCCTATTGGATACTTCATTAGAACACAGAACTTTGGTCAACTTTATTTTTCTGAGCTAACGTGATGAACATCTGTGGATTCTAACTCCATGGCTTTTACAATTCTCTTAAATTGTGGAAGTTTTTTGAACCTGGAACATGCAGTGTGCACAGACCCTGTTGAGGCTCAAAACCACAGGAAATGTTTGCATGTGTCCAGGTGAGGTGGGTATACAGCAGAACATCCTGCATGGAACAAATGGTGCTTTGCCCTTCTGGTTGGCGCCACGGAGAAGAGTGTTAGTATTACCGTTAGCCAAGGGAGCGCTTCTGTACCTTGGGCAGTAGTAATTAAAAGGCTGCATAAACCAGCTGAAGGGACATAAGTTTAGTCCCAAATCCTTTTAAATATGCTGTTCATAACAGCGGTTCACACGTGCTGTACATGTGTTTATACAGGTCCAGAAATAAAATCTGGATCTTACCCAGTGTATTAGAAAGAATCCTACATCTAGTACTCGTCATCGTCTTCCAGGTCTTCCCCTGCAGTTGCAGCTTCCAGTGCAGCCAAAGCCGCTGCTACTTCCGCATCTTCCTCAATTTCTCCATTGATGTCTTCACAGTTGGGCTGTGCGGGTGCCTGTGCTGGTTTCGTAACAGTGATACCACTGGGAATGTCCTCCCTCAAGTTTGCAGAGTCAGTCTTAAAAAGTTCAATACTGCTCTCCTTCATAGGCAAAGGTGGGGTTATGCAAAGGTCCTGGTCCTCTGTTGCTGAAGGCCCGGTGTTTTGGTCTGATTGTGGCCTGTTGACTGAAAAACTATCTTTTTCAACATAGTTCCTGGTTTGATTGCCATTTTGGGGATAATCAATATCTGGCAGTTGTATGACATTGTTTTGTGTCTCCAGTATTGCACTTCCTTTGAGAAAGATGCTGTCATCTGCAGTCCCATCTTGAATACTGTTTGGCTCGTTGCAGGCTGCCTTCCTCTGCCTGCCTGCCTCTAGGTCAAGTTCTTGGCCAGACCTATGTAATTTGGTGTAACAGTCTCTCTTGCTGGCTGAAGGAGGCTCTGCTGACTGGCTGGAGGGTCCCTGTTCACTGGCTTCTGTCACTGGGTTTGTATGGGGATTGAGCATGGGGTGCACTCCACTGCAGGAGTTGCCACCATTGACTGCAAAATCAAGCTTTGCAACACACTTCACAAGGCCATCCTCTTGCAAATCATTGCCTCCGTGGTTCCAGAGGGTTTCTTTCGTGCTATTTCCCTGGGTTTCATTTTCTGTTCTGTTTGGCTTATCCTTCTGGAGTTCATTTTTGTGTCCTTGAATTTCACTGTTGTCTTTGAATTTGGATTTACTGCTGTCTTGCTCATTGTGTTTGTAGCTGTTTGCTTCACAAACACACCTGGGTGACTGTACTTCTTCTGGATCAAAAATATAGCTGAAATAAGAAAAAATTGTAGAGGAAATGTTAATTATGCTGCTAACCAATATAATTAGAAAAGTATTAAGCTTAATTTTTAAGCTGGAGATTTTGAGGAACTGGTGTCACTAAGCTTTCTTGGGGTCCTGAGACTGAGCTAAACTGAATGAAAACACTGAACTGTGCTGTGGGCTGCTGTCTGTAATCAACCCCTGTAGTGAGGTTCACCAGGAGCATAAGGAGGATGTCAGAGAAGCTTGGGCTGGTTGTTGCATGTTTCCAGCTTTATTTTTAATTTTCTCTGGGGCAGGGGGGTAGACTGGCCAATGAGTAGTTGTAACATGGATTGTTAATTAATATGTCCTCATGTAGTTGCTAAAATATCTTCCTTTCCCCCCCCCCCCCACCCCCCCCCCGGTTATCTTCAAGTATTTTTGTCCTTCATTTTTGTTCCCTCCTTTTCCATTTCTCACTTTTTGTTTCTCATTTCTATCTTTTCTGTGATTTATTTCTTCCAGACCCTCACTCTTTTCTCTATCTCCCAACTTTCTCACACCTCCTTACCTGTTCTAGAGATGTGGCCAAGGGAAGGAGTAAATATCAAGTAGGGCTGAAGTGTTTTCTTTCTAAAACTAGCTGGCCTTACTCTCCAGGGAGATTTTTAATGTGGGAATAGTTCCCACAATAAAGTTACGATGGGGGGAAGGATCTGTAGTTCATCTGCACTGCTTAGGAGAGAGGGAGGATCTGACAAAAGTCTGTGCTCCTTATTCTACTGAATTGAGGGAAGGTCATGCTACCTAAATGAGAAAAAGCTTTGTGAAAGGTAAGTTTTCAAAACCCTACAATTTTTCTGTGGGAAAGGAATTATAGAAATGGACCTCAAATACAGTAAATCAGAAGGACATTCACAGGAAATCCGTATACCTATGCTCTGGCATGACCTTAAAGATACCGTAAACTCTGGGAAAACTCCAAACTCGTACATAGGCTTAATTTAAGCACTGGGTGTAGGGGAGTACAGAAATGTGTTTCAATGCATTTCTTCTATTCAGTCAAAGCAAATCTTGTTCTGTTGTACCTTTGTATCATTTTGCAGCACCTGCACCCCATCTGGAATCTCTTTAATCTGAAAAAGAGAAAGAAGGCAAGGGAGAGGGGAAGTGAGTGAAGCATTTTGAAATTAATATATGGGCAATTGCATTGAAAATGATGTTCATGTTTAGAAGGGGTTTATCAGCTAAAAAGAAAGATGTCAACGCACAAAGTTGTTTCAGTACAGTTCAAGGTCTCCTCAGGTTGCTACCTTGCACTGACAGTGGCCTTTAGTTGGGGAAAAACCTCAGGAAGAATTTCATGGTTCGCTACTGATAGTAGTGTTCTCCTAGACTCTTTTTCCTAAGCAGTTTTTATGATTTGTGGACTCCTAAGTCAGAGAGTAGTGTTTCTGGGTTTCTTTTTTATTTGTCAGCTATTGGACTTCTTTTCCATTAATTTTCCAGTTGTCCTCCGAACTCCAGTAAACTGTTAGCATCTACAGCATCCTTTGCTCAGGAGTTTCACAGCCCAGCCTTGCCTGTGTGAAGAAGCACCTGCTTTTGTTTGACTTCAACCTGGTTTACTAGTAGTTATTTGATGCCTTCCAGTTCTTGAATTAGAACAGGTGGTGAGCACCACGTCCTGTTGTCACTATGGTACAGGTCCTGTACTGTCCCTTCAGTTCTGATACGTAGTCTGAAGAACCCTCATCTCTTTAAATGTTACCCATACTGGCATTGTTTCATACCTGTAGATTGTCCTTGTGGTGGTTTTCTGGGCCTTTTGCATTTCAACATCCTTCGTAGATGAGGTGTGGAACCACAAATGCAGACTTCTCAGCGTGTGGGGGACCACAGATTTATTCTATCCCAGTAACTCTTGTCCCACACTGTGACATGCTTTCTGTGTATGTGTCATTGCCTGACCCAGTGAGATGCCAAGAGCTATCTATTACATGATAATGTGCCCAAGTCTTTTATTATGGGAAGAGATACTTTGCTAATTTGGACCCTTGAGAACTTCTATGTTTTGAATGTAAAGTCAAGACACAGATCTGAACATCCCAAAATCCTAGAAAAACACATTATTCCATATGGGTTGGGGTGATCTTATTTCAAGTTAATCAAGTCAAGACAGGTTGTTCAATATGTTTTGTCCATTGTTATTCAGGCTCTTTCTTTTTCGCTTGGTGTTCCACAATCTCACATGCATTTACCATTGCTTAAGGACAGCAGCTTGCCTCCCATAAAACAGAAATTGATGATGCAAGGTCAGGGTATTTTCTAGAGTGATTTATTCACAAAACACGGAAGGAAAGTGGCATTGATTTATTTTTACCAGGCATGGCCTGAACTGCACACCACTGATTATGCTAGTGGAAATTACAATCAGAAGTCCCTGTTGTATGTGCTTATCTTGCTGCTTTTCTCTGAAATCTGACTTCCTCTGGTGTTAGCAGTGAGCAAAATGCCTGATGTCAGTCCCGTCATTCCTGGAGCCTCTAAAGGCCTGTAACTATTCAGCAGCTGGTATTAGCTAGGGTGCAGATGCTCCTACCTATGCTTTTTGTCTTTGTCTGCACATGAGCTGTTTTGGAGCAGAAACTTCTATCAGGAATAGCCAGCTTGGTGCCTGCTGGGATGGCTTGTAAGCTAGCTGCTTTGCTTCCTCTTTCTTGGTGCTGTTTCTCTTCCTTAAATGCATTTTCCCTTCCACGTTTCTGCTGACCTCGTGCTGCAATGTTGCTGTCAGTGCCTCTCAACAACGTCATAGCAGGAATTCTGGTCCAGGGTTTTTTTGTCTAAGAGGATGCAACATGTGGTGGGATGGTCCTGTGTACAGACCCTCCTTATGTGCAGTTGCTCTGCCGTACAAAGGTGTTTGGGCAGGTTTGACTAGGAAGGGGGCTTATTTGAGCTGGCTGGTGTAGCCGTCTTTTCCAGCCAAAGAGGAATTCTTACTACAATTTGCATTGATCATGTTAGAAGCTGAATTAGTTATAGCCCTTTTTTAGTTTAAGACTGATTTGAAGCTAATTCAGTTGAGCGAAGCCCTATGTGGACCCTTTTTTTTCTGTTTGACTGACATCTTTACTGTGAACTTAAAACTGCTTCTAAAGTGAAAGAACAAAAACTGTGTAAAGTTGACCAGCTGTTGATAAACTCAACCTTTGTCTAGTGGTGGGTGGGTTACCACGTGTGAGGTTGATGGGAAAAGCCTCAAGTTACATGGCCTGTGTTAAGCCTCTTTTCTGGACAGACTCAACATCGCTCATGCTTGCCATAGGCTAAGAGTATCTCTCTCAGCTCTGTGTCAGCTAACTGAGGTATGAGAGTATCTCAGTTCTGCTACATCTTGGTAGCTTCAGTTGCTGTCAGGTGCCGTGTGAGCCCACTGGAATGCCTGCACAGCATTTGGCTTGGCTTTAAATTTCGTAGGTTTGGTGAAACCAGTCCCGGTTTGTATGCAGACCAGTTCTGAGAACAGATCCTGCTTCCAGCTGGGTGTGTGCACTTTGGGCCAGGCTGCTTCTCTTTAAACTTTTATCTGACAAATTTTCTATGCTTTTATTTATAACTTTTTTTTTTTTAAATCATCATGCAATCTTGCTCATGGGTTTTTAACCGTTGGGAAGTGCTAATTGCTGTCCTTTATTCTGTTGTAAAGATGCTTATGATCGTCATGGAAAACAATTATAAATGGAAATTACTGTTGTTTTTATAGGAAGCACTTTCCTGTGTGGTGCTTTGTGTGTGGTTGGTTTTTTTTTTTTTAAATTACAGTTACTGCTCGAATCATCCCTGCAGCTACTGCATTAAGCTTTTCCACTGATTAGTTACAACAGAATCTGTCCTCTGGCATGAATAAACTACTATGTATTGAAAATACTTTATGTTGTATTATCTTATAAATTATTTCATGGCCCTGAAATAGGCATATGGTTTTACAATGTCACCATCTGAACACTGGATGGTTTTCTTTTGTTTTTCCCTTGCCTTTCTCTTCTATATTTATTATAGTCTTTCAAGTCAAGTTAGCAAATAAGTCTGGGGAGCAAATTGCTTTTATAGCATGAAAAGGCATGCTTTAATTCTACTTATCTTGGTTTAGGTACCTTGCTCTGAGGACTTGTGTATTGTGTGATGTGTGTAGTTCCATTAACAGATAAGTAGTTTTATTAAATTCTTGTCTGGAGCAGTTTGAATCAAGCACATGGTCCAGACTTGTAACAAAAAAGGGTTAGCGAGCTCAAGCAATAAATAATAATGTTATCTGATACTGAGTTTAGAAACATTACATCCTTTTATGTTCAAATTTTTTTTTCCTTTTGTGAGATGTTTATTCTGTTAGATATTCTGTGCTGCTAAATTGACTAGGTAATTTTAGATGAACATGATATCATACAGAATGCTCCTTTGCAGAACACTTTTGTGGCTAGTTCCCCCCTCCAAAAAGGCTGCCTGTCTAAAGTGGCAGTCAAATAGCCTTAACATTTAGATCCTCAGAATTCAGATCAAATTGCCACTAGTCCTAGACATCATTCTTTCTCAATCATGAAATTCCTGAAGGCCTGTAAATTTCTGTCACTGGTTATCCTGCAGTCACTTAATCCTGAGCACTAACACATCATCTGGTATTAAACCTCTACTGAAATATTAAGTACAGAATTTCCATTTATTTATTTATTTAGAAATGCTCTGGAATATTCAAAGCATTTACAGGAAGAAGATAGAGCTGTTCAGGGGGAGGAATGAGGGAGACTTAGAATTAATTTTTTAATTCTGCTTAATTTTGAACTTTCACTTTCCAGCTTTGAGTAGCTGCTGAATAGTGTGGCCAACAGGACTGGGGAAGTCATTGTCTCCCTGTACTGGGCACTGGTGAGGCCGCACCTCAAATCCTGTGTTCAGTTTTGGGGCCCTCACTATAAGAAAGACACTGAGGTGCTGGAGCATGTCCAGTCAACGGAGCTGGGGAAGGGTCTGGAGCGCATGTCCTATGAGGAGTAGCTGAGGGAACTGGAGTTGTTCAGCCTGGAGAAGCGGAGGCTCAGGGAAGACTTTATAGTGTGTTTCCCCCAGTCACTCCAGCAGACCTTTAGTTGACCATGCAAAAGATATTGCAAGTACATTATATCTAGACTGTATTAAATGAGAGTTCACAGAGATACCAAGAAGACCTGATGTCTTGAAAGGCTGACTTTCTTCCTTTAAAAAAAGGTACAGAGGAGCTGCTATTTTAAAACCAGTTGGAAAAAAAAATCCTACTATGGCTATTAAGAAAATAGTAATTAGACTTAATTTGAGGAGAGCAGAACACCAATCCCATCAAAAAAGCAGATTCTGAAAAAGGGGAGGCTGTTAAATATTTTTGTGGTGACACCTGCTAAGAGAATGAAATGGGACTTCTCTTGAAGTGTGAAACCTTGCTGAGGATAACAAGAATGGTGTCTGACTTCAAAAACATAAACTTGCATTACAAGCTAAAATGTGTTTTAAGAGAATTCTGCTTTGCTTTATCCCATTTGAGAAACACAACATAATTTATTTTAAATTATGTAATGATACAGCTTCTATTGTCTATTTAAACTGTTGCTGTCTTATGAACAAACAAAAGGCAAGTGAAAGATCATGTCATGAAAAGGGAAGGGCAAACATTTTTGAGAAATAAAAAATGGGGTTTTATGCTAGCAAGGTCTTGTATAGATGCCAAATGCTAACCAGCTAGGAGATGTATTCACAAAAACGGGTGTGGGAAGAGAAAGTGTCTACAGAGAAATAATTACAGAGGGAATATTAAAAAAATGGGGTGGGAATAACCTTCGAGAGCTCCAGCACTTGGCAAGCTTCTCCTGTTGGGAGGTGCAGTTTGCCTTCTGTGCTTAGTAGGCATTCACACCTCTTGGAAGATTTCAGAGGCTGTTCCAGCATGGGCCAAGGTCTGAGAAAGGGTCACGTGTGTCAAGGGTGGAGGAGGAAAGTGCTAAGAGTTACTGAGGGGTGGAGGCAGTGGAACGATTGATCTGGATGATGTAATATAAAAGAAGCATGGAAAGACCGTGGGACAGATGGTAG